TGAACATTCAAGGGGGAGTGTTATGAAATTAATGATTGTTCATTTATTCAATTAATCAGACATAATTTCCAGAATAGTAGATTAAGACACCCATTGATGAGTATCAATTTAGTACAGTCCTTCCCACTTGTATTTGTATTCATACTAAGCCTCTCCACTATAAATAGAGGCTTAATCCCTTCATTGTAATCACCATTAAGAATAAGAAGAAGAGTGAAGAGTTAATAGAGAGAAGAAATCAGAAATATATTATATCTATTCTCATAATCTCTGAATAGTTTTTCTCTCATTTTACAACAACATTTTCTTTTCTTTTTTTTTGAAATCGTGACATTTTCTATTATTCTCTTTAAAATATTTTTATTTATTAAATCATCGTCCCTATAAAATAGTTTATTATGCTAATAGTCCTTTCATTACTTTTTTAACTTTAATATTGAATTTATTTTTAGTCCCTAGAAAATTAGTGATTTGGTGTTTGGTCCATCTAAAATGTTTTAAATCCAAAGTGATTTTTTTGTTCTTTTAAACCCTAAGAGATTAACGTAACTTTAAGTTGGTGGTAGGACCATTTGAAAAAACAAATATCTTGCAAAGATTATTTGATAAAAAATATTAGAGAGACTAGAAGCAAAAATCATTCATTTACTGGAACCAAAGACACATTTAACCTTGTCTAAAAATGTAATTAATTTTGAAAACATCTTTACTAAATTTATTTATACATCAACGAAGATATTATTTATCAACATCTTGAACTAATGAACACTACGGTTAAAAGATCAAATGAAAATTTTAATTTTAAAAGAGAAAAGTACAAAACGAGATAAATATTTCTCACACAATATGTATAATAATTAATATATACTCCTAGTCTAAATAAAAATTGTTAGACAATAATAATAAGGGTGTTGCTAGATTCATCCCACTTTTGGCTATATCCACCCCATTTCAGAGAATCGGACAAGTTTATCCTTATATTAAGTTTACATGTTATTTTTCTCTTTTGACACTTTAGGGGCAAATTTGTACATTTATAAAAAAAGGGGTAGATATAGCCAAAATTGGGGTAGATTTAGCAACATAATAATAATTGTGGTCGTATTAATTATGGATTTATTGTAATCTTTGTGTTTTAGTCAGCTTTCATTATTGTTTCATATTTTTAGTTGGGGTTATAATCATCTTTATATACATTCTATCATGTATTCCATTATTTTTTGAATAATAAATTATTTCATTATTCAACATTGTATCACAGCGAAGGCATCTCTTCTTATAAATCTAGCGAGCTTTCCTTCTTCAATGACGACTGTGCGCCGCCGCCGGTCTTCTTCAGACTCTTATTTCCAAGCTTCAATTCCACTCGTGACACAGGTTTAGCTTGAGGAGATATTATTAGACAATAATAAATATAAAAATAATGGTAGTAAATATTAATTATGGTAGTTTGTGTATTTTAGTTAGCTTCCATTATTGATTCTTATTCTTGGAGTAATGATTCCCTGTATGCATATTCTATCATTTATTTTATTACTCGGTATTTTTTGAACAATACAATTATTCTATTATTCAACAAAATTAAATGGGGTCAATCCAACTGCAAGAACAAGAGAAGATGTTTTAAGAGTTTGGTGTCACATAAGATTGACCAAAAGTTAATCCAATTCTAAAGCAACAAAAAGGAAAAGCAAAAGAAAAAGTAGCAAACATCAAAATTAAACTTCTGTAGAGATAATTTGTATTTAAATTTATTTATTTTTTTTTAGAAAAAGTAAAAGTACATGAAACATATTACTAGGACACAAAAGAAAAAGAGATTCTTCATTCTCTTAATTAAGAATATACTCCCTCCGTCCCATAAAGTGTTACCCATTTTGACTAAAGTTAAAATTAAGGGAAGGATAATTTTGTGTTGACTTTCCAAAAATACCCTTGATGTGATGGGTAAAAGTAGGATGTGATGTGTAGATTATTAGGAAAAGAGTATGATGTGATAGGTAGGGTTTGAAAAAGTAAGGGGTAAAAGTGGTTTTTTAATAGAAATGGGTAAGAGATTATAGGACGCAATTTTTTTGAAACGTGTAAATCTTTTTGGGACGGAGGGAGTAATAATTATGCTATTGCTTTTTGAATCATATATACATATCCCTTTATAGACAAAAAATAAAATAAAACCTCTATTAAAGCCTTAGTTAGTTAGTTATCCTTCTTTACTAATTATGGCTTATTCATCTCTCATAATCCCTTTTTTCTGGTTAATATTATTTCCACAATTTCTCCACCTTGCAAAATCCCAACAAAAGCTCTGCCGGAAATCATGCGGCGGAGTTCCGATTCAGTACCCATTCGGCGTCGACGACGGCTGCGGCAGCCCATACTACCGCCACATCGTCAAGTGCACCGCCGCCGGCGAGCTTCTGCTCCTCACCCCTTCCGGCAAGTACCCCATTAAGAACGTCACCTACGACGAAGACGACCCGCACATTGTCGTCTCCGACCCCTTCATGTGGAGCTGCCGTGACGGCGGCCGTTTCCGGCCGCCGCGGCCCTTCAGCCTCGACACTAGCACCCGGTTCTCCCTCCCCCGGGAGACCGAGTACCTCTTCTTCAATTGCAGTACCGACGAGGTACTATTAGAATATAAAAATCTTTCACGTGCCCAACATTTTTTAACTAGTTGGATTTGTTATTTGACATGGTATTAAACATTTAAGAAATTATTTTAAACTGAAGTAAAATATACGGAATGGTATTTATTTTCAAAATAAGGGTTTATATATTTTTCCTCCAAGATAAGAGTGTGCATCGTGACATTATGACAATGTTTAATGACATTTTCATATACTTTATGATACTATATATTGATATACAATAAAAAAAAGTTCAACATTTTCTTGTTTTTGTTCCTAAAAAAATTAACTTCCCAATTTTTGAAAACAATTTTGTTACTTTTAAAATTTCTCTTTCATTTGCATCAATTTGTACCACACAAATTAATTTTTTTTAACGTGTATGCCAAGTTAAAGGTGAGGTTTTTTTATATATGGGACGAGTGTATTAATTTATGAAAGTGAAATTTACATTAAATAGTACTAAAATATAGGTCATTTATCAATGTAATACTTAAATTTTTTTATTCTCTAAAGAATACTTGAATAATGTCTAGTGGCGGGAACAATATCCAGTGATGGTGAACATTTAATTTGAACAATGTTCAGTGACGCTAGACATTTACTAGAACAATGATCAATGAACATTGAATAATGGTACTCCGTATTACATTGGGAAATAAAAATATATAATACTCCCTCCGTCCCAAAAAGAATGGGACGGTTTGACTTTTTGAGAAATTAAGGGAGGGATATTTTGGTATTGACTTTCCAAAAATACCCTTGATGTGATGGGTAAAAGTAGGATGTGATGGATAGATTATTAGGAAAAAGGTATGATGTGATAGGTAGGGTATGAAAAAATAAAGGGTAAGAGTGGTTTTTTAATAGAAATGTAACGAACTTTACGGGACGCAGTTTTTTCTAAACGTAACAAACTTTTTGGGATGGAGGGAGTACTACATTGGGAAAGTCACTATGTTTTAATACTATTTTGATAAATTCTCCTTTATGAAAAGATATAGATCACTCCACGAGGTATTGTAACACTCGAATTGAATCATATTAAAAAATTGAACCGAAATCCATTATTTTCAGGTAGCCGTCGAATCGAAGCCGCATTTCTGCCGCCGGTTCCCGGAGGAGTGCGACTCCGTGTGCGACAGCGGGAGCTTCCTGTGCAGGAACCTCCCGGAGTGCCCGGGGGCGCTGCGCGGCGGATCATGCTGCGCCTACTACCCGGAGGCGGCGGAGTCGCTGAGGATAATGCTGCGGCATTGCGCCACCTACACTGGCGTTTACTGGAAGAACATCGGCGGTGGCGGCAACGGCAAGGCGGGGGCGGCGTTCAGCCAGGTGCCGGAGTACGGGGTGCGGGTGGATTTTGAAATTCCGGTGACGTCGAAGTGCTTGGAGTGCGAGGACGGCGGCGGGACTTGTGGGTTTGATACTCAGAACCAGAGTTTCCTATGCTTGTGTCACAAAAGAAATAGCACCACAAATTGTCATGGTAAGTTCTTTGAGTAGTGATTTCAAACCAAGATTAAACTTATGATATCAGCTAAGTATGAATAAATAAAAAAAATTGACATGATTATATTATTTTATTAAATCAAAGATGACATAACAGAAAAAAGAAGATTTAGTTTGATTTTTGAATAATAAACAAATGATCCCATTCTATTAAATTCGTTCACTTTAATTTTTTTGAGTTAAATTAGATGAACCTTAGATCTCAATGTATATTAGTATACCTATATATAGTCTCATTAGACTTATCTTGTTGACAACTTTTAAATTTTTATTTGATAGTATTAATATGTAAATATAAATTGAGGGTAATTGATGATTTCAATTTATTCAATTACTTAAAAATTAAAAATGAACGAATATACTAAGACAAAGAAATAAGTGTAAAAATTTCGTTGGGAGTTCTGAGATTAAAGAAAATCAAGAGAAATACCACTAACATAAATAGAAGTGCAAAGCTCTACCTATCAGTTTAAGTTTTTGAGTTAGGCACTAAATCTCAATTTTATATATAAATGATTAATTTTACCTGACTAGATCTCAAGATCTTTATATTTTAATTAATGAGATGAGAAATCCATATTCTTTAATTTTGATCATCAAATATTGACCTATGTATAATCCGCAAATTATATGCAGATATTGAGCATAAAATCTCTAAAGCAGCAGTGGCCGGAGTATCAATAGCCGTGTCAGTGGCGGCAGCGGTGGGAGTCGGGATGGGAGTATGGTACGTTAGAAGAGTGAGAGCAAAAGCTCCGGTCACACACGGCGTTCAGACGAACGACAACCGCCTTTTCTAGTCGATGGCCTTACCAGACACATACAACATGTTTTTCTCCATTTTGGTATCTTAGTATAGGCCCACATTTTGTATTGGACAACTTGATTTTACAATTTACAATACCTTGAAGGAAAACACATCTAATTATACACATATATTTTACAAAAGCCTTGTTAGCAAACCTAACTCAACTAGGTGAGGGCCTAGTTGCTACCTTGGCTGGGAGCGGGCGTGGTTCGCCGGGACTGACGTTTGGTGGGGACCACCACGCCCTCCTCTAGGTCTCCTTTTTCACTGATTTCGTCGTACCCGTACGTGTCGTCCTTGCCTTTGAAGACCGGGTGGACGTACGCGTTTTTAAGGTACACCTTCAAGTTGAAGTGAGGTTCCCTTGCATGTTCTAAAGTGTCCTTCATCTTGGCTTCCTGCAGAACCCACCAAAATGTCATCCCCATTATAGTATAATTATCTAAAGAATGAAAAAAGTTTGTATAGAGAGAGAACATGAATACCTGCAATGGAAGTTTGGTGAAAGCTGACTCATAGCGGCCTTTGCAGTAGTATTGGAATGTGATGGTTAATATCGGGAGGGCAATAAGGAACGGCGCGCACTGCGCAGCGCGTTTTGTGCTCAACAATCCCAATGTTGAGAATTGAGAGAAGACTAAGGCAAATATTATGCGTCCATGGACGTCTGGCCAGAATGCTGCTCCACTCTCATACTCTTGGTTGTACACATTTATGATCTGCAACGCGAAAATTAAAAAAATGTGATTTTATAGAATTTACTCCCACTATCCTTAAATTAAAGTCAATCTTTCCCTTTTTAACGTCCCAAAAGTAATTTCGCATTTATCACATTTCTTTAAAGATTGAACACTTAAACGCTGGGAAGTCAAGAAAGTGATTTTGTGTGTGTTTCTTTGTGCTTATAAGTTCAGCAGTTTTTTAACTTATAAATCAACTGATGACATGTATTCTATGCTTATAAGTCAGAAAAATAAGTAGGTCTTACCGACTTATTTTTAAACCAGTCTTTTCGTTTCTCTATTTTAACTAGATTATTTGCAAAATTGTCCCTCACTGTTTATAAATATTCTCAAATGACTTATCTATCATTTAAGTCATTTTACTTCCACGAAAGAATATTTGGCTTATAATCAGCTTATAAGTTAAAAACTATTTATCTGCAATAAGTCAATAAGCACCAATACAAAGAAACACCCCTTTAATTAGCAATGAAGGGACTAATATATAGTATACCTGATGTCGAAAAACAACGTAAGCCAAGGCAAAGAAGATGATGATGAAGGGAAGAAGGATAGGGGTGACAACGGCATAGACAAGGCCTAACAAAAAGTAGAGTTGTATTTGGGGTTCCCCAACATTGAAACAAAGGCTCCCCGGATTCATGGCCTCTTCCCTGTCCTTTTCGGTCTTGACCAAAAAACTGTTCTTGAGATGGAAGATTATCAATGCTTTCAACCTCAAAATCTCCCCGGCGACTCCGGCCCACCCATCGACCATTATGTAGGTTATGAAGAATGTCGCTTTCATTGGGATTGCAGCACCAATGGTTTTAGGGATCCTGCACAACACCAAAGCATTCAGAACAATGACTCTTTGGAAGTGAAAAATAAGTGCCCGTTTGACAACTGCTTCAGCATTTTTGAAAAGGTTATCTAACGACAGCGTTTTACATTTTTGAAAAGGGTATCTAACTATTCTTTCTATTTCATCCGTTTGAACAATAAACCAATAAAGTGGGGAAAAAAGGAAATTTATATGTTGGCATGACATACTCGTTTGCGGACTGGTGGAGGAAGGTGTTTAGTTGTTCGAACGCAGCTCCAACAATAACACTACCAAGAAAAACGTTCACGAAGTTGAAAATATAATATCTGGAAGCAGACCGTCGCTCCAATGATGATAAGCTTGGGAAGCCTTCAAATTTGGACATGAACATCAATATAGTTGGTAGGAGCATAAGGAAGATCTTCAACACAATGCCTGGTAGAAAGCCTTGAATGAATGACTTGATAAAAGGCCTGCACCGAAGTCAGGTGGCAATACTAATGAGCAAGAAGTATGTTGACACAAAATAAGATCTCTATCTACATCGAAAACAAAAGACACCCTCCGTCCCTAATGAGAAACATACGAGTATTTATTTCTGGGAGATGCATTACGTACATGTCAAAAATCGCCTTAAAAAATGGAGCCTTTTTTCTTATTCCTTCAATGTTAGCAAGAGACTGGACAAATGTGATGGGAATCATGAAGAAGAAGGTGAGGAAAAAGAAGGCAACCCCAATGATGAGCCTCCTTATGGTCAGCGAAACATATGGGATCGCCAGGTTTTCCCAGTACACATCACGGGGCTCTGGAGCCCACTCTGTTAGCCATAAAGTTGGGTTTCGTGATTGTTGTGTTTGTGCACATACTGCAGCAGCCCATCTTGTTTTGAAGGAGACAAACGCTGCTGGCATTATAGCTTTTGTGTCATTTTTAACCCTCTCTTGCTCTTCCTCAATCTACATTCAGGACAACACTTAGAAGAACCATGAAATCAAAAGAAGGAAAAGTGGTGAAAAAACATGTAAAGGGATAATTATAGACATTGTTTTAGTGCTCAAGTATTAACCATCTTAAAGACATGGTTTTAGACTTTGCTCATAGCTACTCACTTTGTTCTCAAATAATTGTCTATTAAGGGGAAATCATGGGTTTTTAGGTAATAATTACTTTGTCATAAATTGACAAACATACCCCCTACCTCCCCCCACCCCCACCCCCAAATGATTTCTAGGTATTAAAAGTAACAAGCAAAAGTGAAACAAATGCGTGAATGCAACAATCATTTTATCACATTTTACTTAATTAGATTCCTGATTCCTAAATGGACAGTTGTAGACCTTACTCTTGTGGGATTGTACTGGGTTTGTCGTTTTAGATTCCTAAATGAACAGTTACCTCTGAACAAACGACTTTTATTAATAGACGGGTAATCGAGAATGGTGGAATTTGTGGTAGTGAGTATTCCCTCTGTCCCAAAAACGTTAGCATCTATTCCATTATGTTTTGTATTAAAAAAGATACCATAGTAGTCTAGATTCTATATAAAGGGTGTGCATTTAATGTTATATTTCAACATATACCCTAATTCATTTTCTATTTCAAACTTCACCCCTACTTTATTTTATATTCCCAAAGCACAAATATTAGAGTAATTCATTAACTTTAGAATAGTGTAAAAATCGGAATTGCAATAAACTTCAATGTTCCAATGATACAGACTGATTTCATTGTCCCACACCGGTTAAATGGGGAACTTGGTGATGGGTTTATATAGCCAAGGGTTCTCCCACTTTAACAGCTAGCTTTTAGGGTGTGGCTCTCCCTTGTGTTGTACCAATGGTATCAGAGCCAACTCGGAGTGGTGGCCTACGGAGTGGTGGCCCACGGAGTGGTGGCCTGGTGAAACCAGTCGTGACCAACGAGGACGTTGGGCCTTATGGGGGGTCGAATGATACAGACTGATTTCATTGTCCCACACCGGTTAAATGGGGAACTTGGTGATGGGTTTATATAGCCAGGGGTTCTCCCACTTTAACAACTAGCTTTTAGGGTGTGGCTCTCCCTTGTGTTGTATCATCCAACTAACTCATCAACCATTTCTCAATCCTAGTGCAATTACATACAAGCATATTTTTTTTGTGGGACAGATACAGTGTTTTGTGATATAAATATAATAGATCTAAAGCATTAATAGTTACTTCTTTTGATAATCTTTGAATTTCAGCAGTCTGGTGATCGATTGCATCAACTTTAGTTCCACAGAGACCAAGAAAACCAGTCTGCAAGTTCAAAAACACAGACATGAATGAAATTAAACTATGTATTTTAGATAACCGAATCAAGAAAAAGAGTGCCACTTAAGATTCATAGGTATTCATTCTTTCGCCCATCTGTAATACCTTCGTTCTTGGGCGTTTCGACTGATTGCTTCTCAAATACTTTAACTGGTAGTAATCAAACCAATTCTGCTGCTTCTTCTTTTCCTCAACCAGTTTTGCAAGTTTGTTTGCATTATTTACAACCTGCAGAGGTCTCTTGTGAGATAAGATGGAAGATCTTGTGTCTTAAGAATAAATTATACTGCATTAACATAACAAAGCACAAAAAATATGCGTAAGTGATGGAAAGGAGATTAGACCTGACTAGTTAAATAATGATCGTGATTAACCAGGAAAAAGTGTTCCACGGTTTCACTGACTGATTCATCTGGATCTGGAGGAACATTTCTCACAAGGACCTGTTTAAAAAAAAAAATCATTATATGAAGTAAAGCAAATGATGAACATAAAAGTTATATCATGACATGCAAGTGTTGCGATTGAAAACAATACCAACATTAACTATAGCATTCATTGAGCTATCTGATCTAAGGGCATGTTTGATCCCGGAAAATGCTAGTAAAAGGAAAAGGCAGGGAAATGCCAGAAATCTTTTAATATTTGGTTCTACATTGGCAAACAAAGGAATATGAAATTATGAACGTGATTAGTTTTAAATTCTTCACACGTACTTAAAATTTAGTGTTTGAATAATAGAAATAAACTAATAAATGGATTTGCATACATTTCCGAAGCAAATTTGTTAAGTTTGAATGTATCTCTTATTCTGTACCAAATAACTTTCCCCTCAAAATTTACTCATTTCTTTCTTTCCCTAGTATTTTTCGAGTTCCAAACGGACCCTAAAAGTGTGACTAGTAGCCATCAACCCCCTTGGCACCCTCTAAGTGCTTACCGCCCATGATAGCTATTTGTTTTTGTTTCTAGACATGCTCAGTGCCTAGTTAGGCGCCACTAGGACGCCTAAGGGTCTGTTTGGATGGCGGTTTTCGGAGAGATTTGGAAATGGTAGCTTTGAAGGGCTCAGAGCTTGTTCTCTTCAACTTATTCTTTTTGCTTATTACTAATTCTTATTGGAATCATTTGAGATCAGATCAGAAACAGCTTTATATATAACTACAATCAGATCAAATCTGGACTTGATCGAGTCAGATCAAAACCAATCAGAAAGTTGAAGAGAACAAGCCCTCAGTCCATATTTTGATATACATTTGAGGTTTTATTAGAAAAATGATTAAATGGGCATGTTACTCAAATACCATTTTGATCACCATTTATCTACTTTTAAAAATAGCTTACTTATCACAATATTGTCTTTGAGTCGAGGTCTCTTAGAAATAGACTATCTATTTCATATAGGGATAAGGTGTGTTGTTGTGGTACACACACGTTCCCCATACCCTACTTTTTGTGGATTTTATTGGGTTTGTTGTTATCGCAATATGTACTAAGCTATCCAAAAACTTTCAGTTCCAACCCTCCAAAAGGACCTTAAAGACTTTTGGAACTTACCGTATATTGATCAGGACGGCGTCCTTCAAGAGCAAGAAACTTGAGACGCATATCTGCAACTTTTGCATACTCTGTCTTTAAGACATAGCATGTCCAAAACGTAAACGCATAGGCCATTACAATATGAGTCCAAAACCTGCACATAAAATACTATAATGATACAACAACAACAACAACAACCCGGTTAAAATACTATAATGATATGGTGCCCTTATTCTCTTGATCCAAATGAGCCAAAGATGAGTACCAAACAACTGATATGAGAATGAAAAGAGAATAGTAGCTAACCTTGGCGATCCAAGTGGAACATTTGAAATAGAAAGATTATCAATGTTACTATGAGTCAACTCAGATCGTCTCAATGTGTTATTGGTCCAGTTAACAGGTACAAGGATAACCCATGAGAGCAATGCCATAGGTACAAAGATTTTAAGCCTACAAAAGAACATGGAAGAAAAAGTTGGCAATCAGTGCATTGAACAATCTAGGCATAAAATGTTGTCTCTAGGCCTAGGCGGACTAGTCATGGACCTAGGGCCTCGAATTTTTTAGGGTCCCAAATTTCATTAATACGTGTACTAAACATATTATATGTTGACAAATGTAAGCTAAAAGGTCCACGGTTAAAAAATTCAACCCCGTTCAAGTAGCAAATATCATATTATCATGTTGGACAAATATTATTATCGGCTATTGGCTCCCCCATTAGAAGGGGCCCTAACAAATTTGCCGTCTAGGCCCCCCAAAAGGCAAGAAACACAGCTGAATTCACCCCAAGATGATATTCTAGTAGAGTACCCGTGTAGGATACTAAACACGCAAACCTCTTAAAAAACTAAAGCGGCGGAGGCATGGGACCAATTTGACCTCAAACTAAAACTACCTCAAGCATAAGCTTAATCTTGTGGTTGTAGGCCCAAGAAAGGTTTTATACTAATATCCTCTAACACAACTCATATACTAAGCTCACATTAAAATGACTGTTAGGAGACCAACTTTACTTTTTATGACGACTAGGAGCGACAGAAACGGGGTTAAATGACTAATGTCTATGTTCTTTTCATTAATTGGTTTTAAGAAGCATATGGAAATCATTTAGCTTAAGAACCCTATAGTTTAACGGGAGCAGCCCCGGGAAGTTCCAAAGAATCTATCCTACAAAGATCAATCAAATGCTACAATAGCATACCCTAACAAGTAAATCCTCAAATACACAGCAGAGTCAAGTCCAGCGTGATTGATGAGCTCCGGTTCAGGCATTTTGAGGGCATAGGGTATCCAGTTCAAGAACCTCACATAAGACCTCCAATCCAGATTGACAAACTTCCTCACAAATGCCCCGGAGTGTGTAGGGCTGTCCCTCAAACCCTTAAGATACCATTTTGGGAAATAGATTCTGTCATTAACTGGCTGGAGCCGTAGAATCGCAAACGCAACAAGGAAAATTACTGCAGTAAGAATATTAATGGCAGCAGCAAGTCCAATGTCTGCAAATGTCGCCATCTAGCAGCAACTGCACATAAGGATATAATCAACTGACCATTAAAATGCTCTTTTAAAAACACTATGTGTTGGTGGATGAAATACATGTAAACTTTTATCACAATTTTTTTAGTAAAGAATGAAATATTCATCGGTACCAATTAATCATCAAATAATAAACTCTTGAGGATATAGTCCCACATGCAACACCCACACTAAAAAAAGACTAATACTCATATATAAGAATATCATGGTTTTAAAAGGTGACTGAGGCGGTTGCATTTCGCCTCTGCGGCTTAAGCCTCAGTAAGGAAAGGATACATGAGGCGTACGCCTCACAATGTGGAGGCGGTCTGAGGCAGTAAGGCGTAAGCCTCACTTTTAATAAGAATTTCAACAATTATAAGGGTTATTTTTAAAAATATATTGGGCCTCTTTTACAAAAACTCGGGGCCAATGCACTATATAATTTCTTAAGAAAAACTTTAAAAACCTAGTATATAGTTAACACTTCTTTCCAAGACTTTAGCGTCAACTTTTGTCTCTCCACCTTCACCCATACTTCTCTCCATCTTCAGACTTTAGTGGCACAACTTCACTGTTGTGGTAGCCACTAAGGCAATTGCTTCATATTTAATAGCTTATCTTCTATTTCTTTCATCTTCTTCTTTCAACTTTTTTTTGGTTTCTTCTTTTCCAACATCCCTCTCCCTCTTTTAAATTCGGTTCAAACTTCAAAAAATGATGTAACTTTTTTTTGCGTGAACTTTTGTCCATATTTAATATTTGTAAGGTTTGAAGATGGGTTTGAGACATTTGTGTTTTATGTTACTGTGTTTAATCTATATATATATTGTTTTAAAAATTAAGATAGGGTATCATTTTTTGAAAAATTCAGGAATTATGATTTTATCATTTATTTAACATGAAAATGGATGATTCATTTCGTTTTACCTCGGTGTACATATTTTAGTATTATCTTTTTTTCATATTGAACTGAGGCTTACGCCTCGTTCCGCCTCGAGGCACTTGGCTCCACTGCCTCGAGGCTAGCTTTCGCCTTTCAAAACCTTGAAGAATATGATCTCATAATGGCTCATAATTCTACATAGTATCAGAGTCAAAAATATTCGAGAAGGTGAAAACTTAGTCAAAAATATCCAAGTTGAACTTCAATGGATATTGAGAACATAGCCCCTCAGACTACTATAGAGTATATCACATTGCGAATTGGTTTTGGGTTGAAATCTCATAAAACTCTTCTCTGGGCCGAGTTTGACCTTTCGGTTGAATTGGTTTTCTGACATATATGATATGAATATGCATTAGAAAACACACAAAAAAAAACATCAATTCAAAAAAACATCAATCACCATGTTCTCATGATACTACCAGAATTAAAAACTACAGATAGTAGAGGGAGGAGAGAGAGTACCGTGAAGTAGGGATGGGATGGACCAAGAGAAGTGAGTAATCGTAAAGATTTTCCCAGTCCCTGGTTGGAGAAGATGACAGAATCTGATAAGAATCTTCCAGAAACCTGATAATAATAATTAATTAATTAATTAAAAAAAAGAGCTCAAAATCTCTCCCCAACAGTACTCCAGATGATATTATACTGTAGCAGAGCCTTCTCAGTTCTCAGTGAAGATTGAAGAAGAAGAAGAAGAAGAGAAAGGAGTGTGTTCTGAGGGTTCTGGAAAACAAAAACGAGTAGACAAAAACATTTAGGGCGGTGGTATTAAAACATTCAATTTGTAATCCAAAAAATTATATAAATAAAAATAAAATAAAATTGAGTGCTAGAGAGAGGGGTGTGAGACAAATGGGGTACACCTTTGGCGTATCCCTAGCATTGCTCTTTTTGAACTATTGTGTGAGCTTTGGTCGATTCTGGACATGTTTTATGTAGAAGTCTCAAGCCATTTCAATACAATATCTTAACAAAGTATGTTGTATTATTTTATCTAATAAATAAAAAGATAAGTAATTAGAATAATTAAAATTTAATCCGGAGAACTCTTGTGTTTGAAGAAGAGAATATACGAGAGGCTAATTCTGTGCATATTTTATCAAAATATATAATCGGGTATAAATAAATAAAGAGGAAAAAAAATTACTCCCTCAGTTCCAGACTATTTGTCCACTTTCATTTTTACACATTATTCAATTCACTTCTTTAATTCATTTTATATTGTAATTTGTATATTAAAAAATTATAGAAATTATATATTAATAATCTATACATTAAGACAAATCAAACAAGATCACACATGACTATATTTATACTTACACATTGAGAGAATTTGATGAGTCTTAGATGAACAACTCCAAAAATCAAAAGTGAACAAAAACTGGGAGACGGAGAGAGTATTTTATTACTCCCAAGTTTAGTAAATAACTTTATATGTTTACATTGCTTACAAATTCTTTATAAAGAAATTACCCTAAACAGAAGTTAAATATATAGGAAAATATCAAAATATAAGCTCCATGTTTTTATCCTAAAATAATAGTTTGCATTGTATTCGTGTTTTGAAAATCTTTTTTGCAAGAGCATTCACGTTTAGTTTTACTAATTTGAAAAGCCTATTTAATAATAATATTTAGCTTTAATATTTTCAAAATAAATTAGCATCATAAAAAAATTGTTTAGAAAATACCAAATCTTTTCAAACAAAACTATAAATTTAATTTGTAAGATGTTTGTTCTGAAGTTGCTAGTGGTAAGGCTGTAAGGGTATATTTAATTATTTATTCGTCTGCCAATTAAGTACTTTCTTCGTCCCAATATATTTTTTCTAATTGACTTTTTCGAATTTAGTCAGATGAACTTTGAACTTCAATTAAATAAAAATAGTAAAATATATTAGTATGAAAATGATTTAATTAGATTTATCTTGTTGACGATTTTTCAAATTTTATTTCATTGTACTCCATCTGTCCTAAAACTTTCTTCCCAGAGCACTATTCCAACTTCACGGGAATTTATATTTATGTGTGTTTTTTCATGGCCTATATGATAAAATAAAATATTCTTGTCACCACTTATTTTGTTGAACTTTTGATGTAGTTTTTAAATATGTATGTCTTATTTTTTATTTCTATACCAATATTTAAATAAAATAGATTGAAAAAACTTGGGATTTTTCTTCGTTTTGCGCAACGGGAAGAAAGTTTTAGGACGGAGGGAGTACTAATTTACAATAGAGATCGAGAATAATTGAAGTTGATGGGTGTATTTCACCCAAGACCGGTCAAAGGAGGAGGACAAATCTTTGACCGGTCAATCTCGAAAGTTTTGGAAGGGAGACTTAAATCGTCAGCAAAACGATATGTCATCGGCCAAAATTTGACCGGTACACTTCACAAAAAAGTATACCGGTCAAACTACGTTATCATCCTATTTATTCCAGACTTCGATGAATTCACCTCTCGGAGATTACCCGGTGTAGTTTCTGAGGTTGGAAAGTGTCGGCAGAGGAGAATCTACGAGGGCTTGGCGTGTAGCGACCCGTGTCAGTAGAGGACGACTGGAGATGCTGAAGAATCCATCCAAGGCACTACCTGACAAAGGGAATAATCCCC